CCTGGGTGATTCTGGAACCAACATCAGGCGATTTGCTGTGGCATGTCCGCTGAAGCTTCATTTAATACACAGGCTAACCCACAACAAGGAGTTTGTCAAACAGTATTTAGCCCAATCATTCTAAGTGGCCTCACTATATCTATTAATTTCATTTCAATAAACATCTCTCAGAGAAGCATGTATTTTTATTTTCTATACAAGAGTAAAAATTTATAAGTCCTCTAAATAAAACTCAATGACATGAGCATTTTCTTTTTCTTTGGAAATTGTCCTAGTTTGCTTTATGTAGCTTGGTAAAATACCATGACCAAAGCAACTTCAGAAGGAAAGGGTTTATTTTATGTACAGTGTCAGGTAACAATCCATCACTGAAGGAAGACCAGGCAAGAAGCCAAGCAGGGCAGGGACCTGGAGGCAGGACCCAAAACAGAGACCATGGAGGAAGACTGCTTACTGACTTGGTCCCCATGACTTGCTCAGCCTTCTTTTTTTATACAACCCGGGCCACCTGACCAGAGGTATGTGGGAGCCCGCTCCCACATTTTGAAGGGTTCTTAGGTGGAGAGAAAGGAATTAAGAAATAATAGATAGAAAGAGAGACCTAGCTGACGAGAAGAAAGACAGAAACACAGGATAACTTTGGGAGGGCCTGGATCAATACCCAACAGCCACTTTGTTTATTCAAAAGGGTTTGTTTGTTTGTTTGTTTGTTTAACAATGCCAAGGGGCAGGGCAAAAGACCTCCCCCTGGCAAGATCAAAGCACACCATATAGCCAAGTGTAGACCCTTTCAAACACCTAGTAAACACGCCCATGGTCAAATCATCTGGTTATGCAGCCCTGCTGGGTAAAAGCAAGCTCAAATTCTCAGACCCTGAGTAATTTCTCACTAGGAAGCCTCTGTGAACTCCCACAGTGGTGTCCTTGAATCAATCCATTATCAGGTCAAAGCTCTCATGAGCCAAACTCTTCCTAAAAGCTTTGCTTCCATGCATTGCATTACACACCCAGTGTTTAATGCATGAATTTCCAAATTAGATGCTACTGATTTAAATGTATAGCCCATACAAAACCAGTATGAGACAAATAAGATAAGGTCACAGAGGCATGTCATGTCATTCCTGGTAAACTATTCTGTAGGCGAGAAGTAAAGGAAGAAATTTAAAATAAGGAAAGTAATCAGCAGGGTGTAACTCACTAGGGAGAACAATCAAAGTAAGAGCTGGAGAATGTCCATTGTTTGGTGTTGAAGGTCTCACCTGTCTAGACAAATGTTGAGAATATAGTCCTGGGATTTTGTCTTTGTCCATGCTGGAGGATGGGACCAAACTCAAGGTGGCAGCAGATATTATCTATGAGTTACTTATGTTATAGACATGGGGAAAGGAATTCTTTCATTGGAAAATTGTAAGCTACAAAACTTCTTTGCTTCTGGAAATCTAAGATTCTATCCAGGAATAGTGGTAGCCCAACTCTGAACTGTCTGTCAGCAGTAGTTGTTAATAGCAGGACCTCTCCTCCCAGGTCTGCCCTCATTAGAAGCGGCAACACTAAAGCTGTGTACATCCATTTGTTCGGAAAGCGCTTCTAGGGGCCCACGGGCACCTGCACCCTCTCGGTGCACCAGCTTAGCCGTGCTGCACCGTGCAGACAAGCTGCCCTCATCTGGTGTGTGTCTCACTTTTCTTTTCCACTTTCAATTCAGACTGAACATTAATATCAGAAGTTTTGATAATCGCCCATGAACTTCATGTTTTTTAAAAGGTAGTGTAGCTCTCTTCCTGTAGTGTAACCATAGCAACTGACAGGAACAGAGAGAGAGAAAGCTTTCACACATGCTGTGCTAATTAATCCTGTCCTACAGTTTCCCTTCAGCTGGAAGATGCAGTTTAATAAATTTTGCATGAGTAAGCAGGTTTTGATTTGTGAACTTTACAAAAACATAGTGTTGTCTTTACCAAAAAGATTGGGAAATGGCACTAGAATATCATATTTCAAGGTATTCTTTTAAAAAAGCCATTGTTTAAGTAATTTGGTGTTTTCTGGAAAAAATAGGGTTTACTTTTCTTATTAAATGAATATAAATATCCTTAGAGTGAACACCTTTTTGTTCATTGATGTATGGTACACCTTCAAAACTAACAGCTTTTAACTGACCATATCCCCTCAAGAGATGGAGAAAACCGTATTCTGAAATTAAAGATCCTTATTTTCTATATGACATATCTATGTGCAAACCCTCTTAAAAATAACTCTTTTTAAAAAACTTGGAAAACTCATCCTCATTGCTCTTTTGGGAAGTATTGTCGCCCAGCTGAATGAAGCTGTGGCTCTCTTTGACCTAAGTATGTGAGACCCAAGAAAATAGTGTAGACTAGGAACTTATATTTGTATTTTCCACAAATACTTAACCAACGTAACAACTCACATTTGGTCTGCAATCACATGTAATAGTTGATTTCACATGTAATCTTATTTAGGGCATTCTGAAGTTTCTTTTTTTTTTCAACTTAGACTATCACTTTCTATTTAATAACTAGCCTGATTGTCTGAACTGTCAAAGAAAATCTCACGTTTTTCCATTTTCCTATCTCAGTTTCAGCTGTCTGACAATAAGGCCTCAGGAAAAGCTGGAGGATCCAGCTCGTGTGCTCTGGCATCCCATTTGACTTGACAGCCACATATGGGATGAGTCAGAACCTATTTCCAGACCTGTCCTTGGCTCTTTGGTTTCTATATGGAAATGTAGTCGTGTGGGGAGCAGACCTTTGATGAGATTGCCAATTCCTGCAGACACTTTCCCTGACTTATTGTCAGATTAATAATACAGTTTTGTCAGAACTGAGAGAGGATTAAACCTTGCCGAGTAAAGAACATGCTACATGGAATCCGTGGTTGAACACAGTTCTATTTGTATGTAGAACATTAGGTGTAGTAACGAGTATTTTTGTATTTTTTTTATATCTATACATTTTTGTATGGGATATATGTGAGCTTTAATGAATTCTGTATGTCATCACTTTATTTTAAAAACTAAAGTGTAGAAAAATGACTATAATGATAATTGAATTAATTATCAACTTTTTGTCCTACTAGCTACCCTATTAATTACAAAATTTACATATAACCCAGAAGATTAACAGCTATGGCTAAAAAACAGGAAGAAGTGATGTTCCTAAACATCTCTGATAATTTTAATATATCATTGAAATGAACATGCTTAAAAGTAGCTCCACAGCAAAACTTTGCATTATATTATATTAAGTGTAATACTGATAAGCAATCCTTCATACTTGTGGTGTTGATTTGTTTCATAACTGTGAAAAAGTGCCAGAGGTATTGGTGAAGGAATGGTTTCTTTTTGCTCATGGTCCCAGAAGTTTTAGTCAACACTGGGCTGGTACTGTTGGTTTTGGATGTATGATAAGACAGAATAGCATAGTAAAAAAGCCCATGTTGGAACAAAGCCCATGTCACCTTGTAGCTGTCAGGGAGCAAGGAGAGAAAGACTGTCACCCTGACATCTCCTTCAAGAGCATGACCCAGTGAACCAACTTCCTTCTACCAGGCCTCATCTCCTGGAAAGTTCCATCAACTCCCAGTACCACTGTGGGCCACTGAAAGAGTCTCTAACAAATGGGCCATGAGGGTCCATTTCAGATCTAAAATATTGCATTAATCATTAATGACATAGCCAGATGGTCTGATATGATTTGTTTTACTTTCAAAGCAACATTGTGAGATGTATGACTTTTAAAAGAAGTAGAAGGGTGGGGGGAGATGGCTCAGTGGTTTAGAATGCTTACTGCTCCTGCAGAAGACCTGAGTTCAGTTCTCAGCACCCAAATCAGGCAGATCACAACTACCTGTAACTCCACCCCAGGGAATTCAATGCCCTCTTCTTGCCTCCACAGGCACTCACATGCATGTCAACATAGCACATGCATGTACGTATATATGTATGTGCACACACACACAATTAAAAATAAAAATAAATCTTTTTAAAAAGGAATTAGACTGGGGACATAGCTTGTTGACAGTATGCTTCCTTACCATGTTTGGGGTGGGTATGTTCAATTCTTACAATCCAATGTAAATGCAGTTAAACCGTTTTCAAAAAAGAATTAGTCATCACATACAAACTGGGGGAAAACACTCAGGAAAACTTACTAAATTATGAAAGGGGCAGGGCTTGATGGATGAATCAGCTAGTAAGAGCATATGCTAACATACAGCACCACAGAGGACCATGGCTGCCTTCCAGTGTCCACACCAGGCAGCTCACAGACACATGTAACTCCTGCTCTAGATTTGACCCCCTCTTCTGGCCTCTGTGGGCTGCCATACTCTTGTGCATGTACCACCATACACATAAGTAAAAGTAAAATAAATCTTTTAAAAAATGGATAATCACACATACCAGAGGTAAACCATGCAGGACATACATGAATACATGTTTTGTTTTGCTGTCTGTGTGTGAATATTTTTGATTTCTAGGTCAAATTGCATATTTTCAATTAAAGTAATTTTGCCACTTTTTCCCCATTACAGTTGATGTCAGCTTTCATCATCTATCTGTTCCAGTTTGCTTATTGCTTTATAATTATGTAGCTCATGAGTTTTCAGATAAACCTCCCCAGTGTGTGTCTACTTATGAGTCTTTGAGAAACACTCACCATAAGAATGTTTTTGGCAACTTATTGAGAAAAGTATTGCAATTTCTTCTTATAGATTCAATAGATGTATAAACATTGGTAGCACTGATTGTTTGTAGAGCTGGGAGACGGTAGCTTTCTTAATATATCTTTTCTGCAAGTTATTTGCCCAAACAACATAGAGACTACATATGTTCTCCTCAAACTTTGTGTTAACCTTGACATTGTATTCATGAATCTGAATTACATTAGTGCTGTGTAACCTTTTAAAATGGAACATTTGAATTTAAAGCATGTGTTTTTTTCAAGCCCATTTAACCTCTTTATGTTTCCCATAACCTACAGGTCTTGCAAGAGCAAAATCCGTCCCTAGCCACACGTACTCCAATGAAGTGGTTACCTTGTGGTACAGACCTCCAGATGTTCTCCTGGGCTCTACAGAGTACTCCACCTGCCTTGACATGTGGTGAGAAATGAACACTTCAGCTAATCTGTGTGCCATGCTTGGTCTGGGCCAAACCTAGACAAACGTCTAACAGTTTTGAGGGAGATCAGTTGTGCAGGAGTGTTGCCTGTGTGTGGCAGTAAAAAACCTCTTAAAACCTGCTTGGGAGTGGTATCTCATCAGAGTCTGCTCCAGGTGGAACCTTCTAAGCATTCTTGATGAACAAGGTCAAGGGTTTTTGTTTTGTTTTGTTTTTTCATCAGTACTGTAATTTTCTGTGTAAGGTCGTAATTTATTGTTTTATTTTATAACAAGGAAGTGTGTCTCTCCAAAGAGCAGTAGATTAAGAAGTAACATGTAATGAGTTTATACTTAATACATAGCTCTGGTAATTGGTTTGATTGAAAGTTATTGATAACATTTGTCCAAAATGAAATGCCTTGTGTTTTTAAAAATATGGAATCATTTCAGGAGAGTATCATTTCGTGCAGTAGTTCACCAGCTGCTAAAATATTTTTAGTGTATTAGAAAAATTAGTAACATTTGTTGCATACTTGTTAATACTGACAAACTACTCTGCATTCCCAATTATGTGAGATTTAAATGTCATAATCATCAAAGGGAATGAATCTCATTCTTAATACTCTGGAGAGAGTCACACATGGCCATTGAGCATGGCTTTTCCTTTTCTGGATTCACGATTAGGTTTGAAGTAAAATAATTCTTGTGGTTTGTGTCTGTTTTATAAAAGGGCCATCATTCTTGAAAGATTATGCCCCTGTATTTAGAATTTAGCTACATGATCATATAATGTTTATGGCTTCAGTAAAACTTCAGTATGTATCATTTATCTTCCTCCTGTGTAGTTACTTCTTGGTTCTACCCCCTCAGAAATCTTGGCTCTTAAAAATTAGGGACTTTATTAATGTGCGTTTCAGATACCCCTAGCTGTAGGATTTGATGTTCTGTGTAGCCACTGACATCACCTGCAGCATCTCATGTACATGTAGCTGTCACTGTAGGGTGGAGATATATAGCTTTCAATAAAACTGTAAGAATCTAGGCCATCAACCACCCAAAGACTGGTTATCATAAATTTGTACGCCTTAACATAAATCTAATAACATTTCAAAGATTTTCTAAAATCCCAAGAATAAATATCACTATCTATTGCTGAGTGGCTGAGTTGATCCATCTCTTCATCACACTTCTTGGCCTTGGCTTTTTAATGGCTATTTATTCTTTCCATAGTTAATATCTTTCCCTAAGGATAGGCCTATCTTTGGGCAACATAGATACTTAGATCCTTAATTATAATGAGGGAAAGTTAGAGATAGAGGCCAGTGCACACACTAGGGTACCAGTTAGTTGCCTTCTTAATCACTTCCTACTTTCTGCTGTTAGTTGAGAGTTGCCTATGCAAATAATAATTATATCACCATCTTTTTCTATTAATTTCGCATATGGAAATTCTTGGTTGTCTTTCAATGAGTTCAGCTCAGGTCTCTACTAATAAAATGTGTTTTGAAATATTTGTGGTGTGGAGCCATTTTTGTCTCAGTTGCTTGGCAGTTTAGTCAAGACTGTACCCTCCTCACCACAAGAAGCTCTTCTTCCTGTGCCTCAATGTTGGCAAAAAACAAAAAAAAAAAAAAATGTTTCTAAGGGACTAGGGACATGGCCCAGGTATGAAATGCTTGCAAGTGTGATGACCTAAGTTTAGCATAGTAGTTCATGCATGTAACACATCAGGGAGGATGAGGAGGCAGGCAGAATACTGTGGCTTAACTTAGCCAAGTCAGTGATTTCCAAACTCAGGGGGAGACCTTGTCTCAAAACTTAAGGTAAACAGCAAGGACACCATTGACCTTGATACACATATATGTACCAACACTCATACATACACACACTCACTCGTGTACAGCACACTAACATAATGATGTTTAATAGATTGTGCTTAATGCTTAGTTGGATGGCCTGAATTCAGTCCCCCAAACCAATGTACAGTTGTGAAAATGCTGGGCAGGCAGACCCCTGGGTCGCACTGTCCAGTCAGCCTTATTTACTTGGAGAACTCCAAGCCAGGGAGAGAACTGCCGTTCTCCTGCAAAGGTAGGGAGCTTCCGGAGAAACAACACTCAAAGTTGACCTCTGACCTCCATATGCATACATACTCACACACAGATCAGTACACACGTACATCTATACACATGTGTGCACACTCAGGTTAGGGTAGAGGAAAATGCTCTTTTTTTTTTTTTTTTTTTTGGTTTTTTGAGACAGGGTTTCTCTGTGTAGCTCTGCGCCTTTTCCTGGAACTCGCTTTGGAGACCAGGCTGGCCTCGAATTCACAGAGATCCGCCTGGCTCTGCCTCCCAAGTGCTGGGATTAAAGGCGTGCGCCACCACCGCCCGGCAGGAAAATGCTCTTTATAGTACCAAGTACAGGACGGGCTCTGACTTTGTAATATGTTTGTTTCTGGCATACACTGTTTTCTCATCTGCCCTGCTTCACCCTACCCTGTAGAGGGAAGTTTCTCCAGTCCTGCCTGGCCCAAGGTCTGGACAAATCTCTCCCACCCTTGGTCCCGCAGCCGCTTATAAAGTAATCACTGTATGGCATATGGCTTCAGCTTCTTGCTAGCTAGTTCTTTCATCTTAAATTAACCTGTTCCTATTAATCTATATGTTGCCACGTGGCCATGGCATTACCAGTCTGCTGGCATCTTGTTGCTCCTTCAGTGGTGGCTGGCATCTCTCCCGACTCCACCCTTCTTCTCTCTGTATCTCTGCTTGGAGTTTCCACCTGGCTATAAGCTTTCTTGTCATAGGCCAAACCAGCTTTATTTACTATCCAGTGGAGCCACACATGTTCACAGCATACAGAAAGACATCCCACAGTACCACCCCATGTGTGTGAGAGATGGTTTGGTCACTTGCTGCCAATTTGCTTTGAACAGAGACATAATAGAAGTGTCTGAAGAAGCCTGTTACTTGAGAGGAAGGGGAAATCTGATAGAAAACAGTGGACCCCAAATGCCCTTTTGTCTCCATGCCGACAGTATTCATTGCCAGACACAAATAGCAAATGTGTTAGGTTTGTGCTTCCTGTGCTTATTTTCAGTTTACTTCCAAGCCCTAAAATCTATGTTATGTCTATGCTATGCCTGTCATTCTGAATCTGATTTCATTCCAAGCAATTTTCTAAAAGCTGTTTTGCTATTTTGCAATCAGGTAAAAATGTATGTGTCTTTCCCACGAGAGGGATGTTCACAGGGCACTGATTTTTGCATAATCAATGGCATCGATGCAGGATATGCAGACACCTGGAAATGGGATTGTAATTGAGTCATGGCTCAGCTGCACCAAAAAGAAATACAAATATTAACCCAGAGATAGCAGCAGGGAGGCAGGTGGCAGGAGTTTCGGGCTATTTTTACAGTTCATTTACTGTCCTGGGGCTGGAGTAACTAAAAACTGATGATCCCTACACAGTGTTCAGTAGCCACAGGCACTAAACATATTAATGAAGACACATATGCAATAACACTGTCAGCGTGTGATGAAAATCAGAGCTGGCACTGTTTGGAGCTTCTCCTGGAGGTCGCCAGCACCGTGGCGATGTGTGAATGCAAAGTGCGACTTAAGAACTCACCGAGGTCGTTTTGATACCTTTGTTTCCCTTCATAAATGAAGATTAAATTGAACATTGACTCTTGTAAAACATCTATTAATGCTTGGATGTTGTAGCTCCTTGAAAGTCAAAGCATGGAAAAGCATTGCTAAGTTTCTAGGTCAGAGAGACTTAGGGGGTTCTGAAGAGCACAGGAAGGGAAGCATGGATATGGAGGCAGTGTATCTGTGTAGCTCTTCACTTGCTAGAGACTGCTGCTCTTTCTGCAGAGCTGGTATTTTAAATAAAATTATCTTCCTTTCTACATGCTCAGAGCTGTGTTTGCAGCTGCACACATCTCTAAAGCAGAACATTGTTGAGGATTATTTTACAGGATTAATTTTTAATATCAGGTAACTAAATTATCTGTTGTTAATAAATGATTATCTCATCAAAGGCATTGTGCTTTAGAGGGGGCCTGTGATATCAGCTACAGTGCCCCCCAACACAGTATGCGAAGAATGATGGTATGTCAAGTGCTTCCTATCATCATCTTTTTTAAAGCTAATTAACATATTAACTATGCTTGTCAAAATGTGGGGCAGATAATTTATAAATAAGCCTGTCAAACATAATGAGATTGCATATTAAATCACCCCATCTCTATTACATCTCTGATTTAAGATTAAAATTAATTTATTTAACATTGTAGCAGCTGGGTGGTTAGGAAAAAAATCTGTGCTAGTCATAATGTATAGGAAAATGTCTGCATCAAAATTGATTTTTAATATATTAGAAAGAATATTGCCCATTTATTAAGTATCATAAAGCCATTTGGCATTGCTTCATATTACATAAGCTTAATGGCCATACATACTGGCGACATCCAGTGTTCTGCCATCATCTTTACTGATCTTTCTGTCTTGAACTAAAGCAATTTATACAAAAAAAATTTCTTAAGACTAGGGTTTATTTACCATTGTTTTAAGAGAAAGAACCATAAGTGAACCTTCCTATACCTGCCACCCTGAACATAAGTTTATTCTATGTGAGGTCTATTTTAATTTGAAAACTTGAATAATAATAATAATAGTAATAGTAGATACTTTTATTGACCATAAACTGTATCTAAGCCCTGCTATGCTTTTAAATTAGTTCCCTATTATACAACACAATAAAAAGCACTCACAGAGTGACGTAACCAAGGTCACATGGTGAGTAAAAAGCCAGTATGCAGTCTAGGGCAGGATTCTCAGCACCCTTCCTTACAACAGTCTGTACTGTCTCATAAGATGATATGTAAGGAATTGCTCTTCTTTTACTGCTAATGTAACTTTGAAACACAAACGAAGTACTTGATAATATATCCTGCTTTGATCCATGTTAGATCAGATATTTTGGGTGCCTCT